TTTCAATTCCGGTTATTTCTACATCACTTAATCTACAAACAATTTGTACCGAACCAAACCAAGATCTTTGGAGCACTGAAAGATTACATGACCGGAAAGTAAAGACGAAGAAAAGCAGACAGCTACAGGTCATCTATCGGAGAAAATATTATTACAGAGATCGTGAAAAATGAAAACCCTTTCGGACTGGACATGTACAGAGAATGAGTGGTAACAACTGAATTGAAGTAATTTTCGTAACGCGCAGTTAAAAGCAAACGATCCGTCTATTCAGTCAAATCAATTAATTATATTGTACAGTGTGTGTACATTATACAAATGTACATCGTTTCCAGGTTTGCGTCGTGTTTTATACGTTCAAATAATATGTAATTAAAATAACTAATATCTCGAAGAGTAAAAAAAGTGTTTGTATAATTATAATTCTTGAAATATATGTATAAATAGTAACTTTTACTTGTGCACGAAGAACTTACATTGTCGTTCTATTAGTTTTCATACGAGGTCTATTAAAAAAATTCCGGGACTATTTGAATTTCGCGCCAACGAAGCATCCAAGAACCGTAGGATAGATATCACTAAATTCTGTGATTTTCTCTTGAGTACATCCGTGTTTGTAGATTCTCTATAACTTTCTTTGTTTTGATGTAACCGATGTTTACTTAAAATGTTTTTTTCGCATTTGAAGTTTTTGTATTATTTCCAAGAGAAAAGCTTTTTATGGGAGGCGGGGAGAAGTTGGTTGGATTTTCTTTCATTTTGATAATAATATTATTATAATAAAAAATTCCTGATAAACCTGAACTTTGACCTTCTTCCACAATCTCGAGAAAAACTTTCACTCGGCACATCTCACATCTGCAGTTTTTCAGTTACAGTTTGTTGGCAAAAGTCATGTGAAACGTTGCACTCCTCTACACCAAACAAGATTCTATCAAAAAAATGAAAGCAAAAATCCTACCCCCCCCCCCTAATAATATAATATAATATAGTATAATAGCTGATGAATTGCGCGACGGAGAGCCCATTGTCGGTGGCGCGGCGTAGTAATTATACCCGGCGGTGGTGGTGGCGCCGCCGGAATCGATAAAACCCCTTTACGGTAAAAATAAATTGCGTTTTAAAAAGGGCCGGGCATTTTGCAATCGCGTTTTTGTCCGACTCTGCCCGAGCCTGTGTTCCCGTTTTCACTTGCTGTACAAAAAAAAAAACCGTCCGTCCGTCGGTGTGATTCCGTAAATCGATTTCGAGACGGAAACAATAATCGTACCATCCTATAATATATATCTATATATTGTAGTGCATTTAATCGAATTGAATCGAAAGTCCGAGAGTATAACATAGAGTTGCATTACCGCGTCTGTTTAGAATAAAAATTTTAAATAAAAAAACAAAAAAGTAGCAACGAGCAGATAACAGAAAAAAAAATGAGCTTATTTTCTTTCTCGCGGATATAAAAAACGACCGTATGGAACACCGCGCGGTCGAGGAAGAACTCGGGCGTCGGTGTTTAAATATTCGCGTTAGACGATTATTCAGTCGTTCGGGTTGAATAATATATTTGAAAAAAAAAATCGAGTACCTGTATACGTTTGTTAGATCTGTGATAAAAAAATTGGGCTTATTATTCGGATGGAAAAACGGAGAGAGAGAAAAAAAAAAGAAAAGCGTTCAAATCCAATATAAAAACACATCCGTGTGTTCTCCGTGACATTAAATTAATAATATTAGAAGTAAAGTTTAAATTTTATGCGCATACTCGTAAATGATTTTACAACGCGAAAAAAATAATTCTAATAAAAGAATAAAAAAAAGGTCAAATAAAAAAAAAAAGTCCTTTACGTTTATTTATTCGTTTGGTAAATATAAATTGTTCATAAATAGCTGCTGTCCTCGCGTATTGAATTCCCCTTACCATAAAAACAATATGTACGCGATATACTTGTTTTCGGATTAATGTTTTATTTCGTTTTGACGTTTTGTCCGGTTTTTTCAGCCTGATTCTCGGCGATCAAAAGTACATATCGTACGTAAATACAAGAGGATGCATTATTTATCATTTAGCCATTGATTTTCTCGGAGGATTTTAAGTGACTAAGGTTAACGTTTTTTTTTTCGTTTAAGCTTATTTATTTTAATATTAATTAAAATTGTTTACCCCTATTTCTTGTTTTTTAAATAAGTACATAACTACACTTTTGATTTTCAAATATCAACTTATCTCCCACACTGATTCAGATAAAAAACATTTATTTTTTTTAAAGACGGACATACTTTGCACAATGGATGGGCCACTTTTGCAGATGAGAAGTTGGGAAGGTAGATGGGGAATTTAATATGTATATTTGTACTCATCGATTAACCAATGCTAACGAAAAACTATTCGGAGCGGAGTTCGATTAATATTAGGTATTGTATTTATAGTAGGTATTAGGCTCTTTCAACAATATATAGTACATAATATATATCGTATTATAGTAAAATAAATACAATTTAATACATAATGTATACATTATATATATATTTTTTTTTTTAAATACCTTCTAAAGTACCACCCCAGAAAAATTCCCCTTCAGAAAACGTGCTACACTTGATACTTCAGAGCAGAATGTCTGGTAGAACTATTGTACACAGTATAAAAAAGTAAAAAAAAATAAATAAATAAACATCGTTATAAAACCAATACATTCTTCGCTCTGCCCAGAATCTAAAATGTGAATAATGTGCATAACACTGATATTGGATTTGCCGTTCATACGTCATAACGGTTTATGATACAGACCGGGATCGTAGGGAAAGGTTTAAATTCATTTTTAAACGATACGTAATTTGGGTATAATCGAATATTTGTTGAACAGGGAAGGTTGCTAATTAGTCGACAATAAAACCACCGATAAAAAACCGTAAAATATTTCCACCTAGGTACTCATTTGGTATTTTCGACTTTTTACAGATAACAAACGTCAAGACATATCGTCATTTGGAATAATATGAACTGGGCGTTTTACACCATCGAAACCACCTGACAACTCCTAGCGATCGTTTTGAATTCGGTGAGTATTGCTCAAACTTTAGTATAGTATTTATTTATTATTATTTTAATAATTATTCTGAGCGTGACGGGCCACGGGGAATTTATTAGTTTTACTATGATGTATACTTTTTTAAATTTAATTTAAATTTTTCTATCTTTTAATCGGTTTTCTAACAGAAATATCTAATTTTAAAGTGCAACTTTTCTGAAATCAAATTGTATCTATAATCGATGATCCTTTTTTTAGTTGATTGACATTTTCTCAATTTTCGGCAAAAACCGAGAAAAACCGTAGGAAGTTTAAAAATAATAACGGTTTCATTATTTTCGATTTTGTTGTATATGTTTAGCGATTTATCGTATTCGTATAAAATATTCAACATAATATTATTTTCGTATTTTATGAGTCGATATTCGAACGATCCGTGCGTTCCGAAAATATGGGTTTCCATTTCCCGGTTTACGTTCTGGAATTTGTACGCGTCCGCGTGTATAAACGAAAACAAAAACAAACTGAACACCGAAGTGTGTATAAAAATAGTAATATGACGTACGTTAAGAGGTTATATTTCAAAATGTCCCCGATTTATGTCTCGATGGAAAAAAAAAACTATAAAGTGGAAAACAATGCTGCGCAATTGATTACGATACATAGAGTGTTGTCTGATATCACGATCCAACAAATACGATAATAATATATAACACGGTCGAATCGAATTCGAGTTTAAGTATTCAACATAATAATATGATAATATTATATACTTTTATGGTACGCTTTGATACACGTTTTTGTTTTTTTTCGAAAACTCTTATATTATATTATTATCGATTTGCCATTACTTTTCGATACCCGTTCAATATACGCCCATACTCGACTCGCAGAGTGAATTTTTTTTTTTTTTTTTATTTCAAATCATCCGATTCAAACGCGCGTATACCTTTCATTACTCTCTGTACCCCCCCCCCCANAAAAAAAAAAAAAAAAAAAAAAAAAAACCAAATAAATCTTCACGCGTGCGTGATTGTCGCGTTACACGCGTTTGTAAAACCGTAAAAAAAAAAAAAATCCCCGTAACGTTTCATCATTATTACGAGTTACGGCGGCGACGACGGCGATAATTATCAGGTGGCGGGGACGGGGTCCGGAAACGAAATTTATAAAATCCGCGCCGCAGCCATAATTAATCCGAATTAACTATCGGCAATAAAGCGAGCGCAATCAACGGAGTATATATGATATCATAATACTATAATAATGACAATAATGATAATTGTCTGTCCGGGAAACGCTGTACAAATTATTATATCATACACGCTAAATGACCGGCCATATACTACACGTTCGCAAATAATATATAATCGGGGTGTCGTTATAAACGCGCGCGCGCGACGACGACTACGACTACGGTATAGGGCGGAACATACACACAGTCCATAAAAACCAGATACCGAGTCTTATGATATAATATTATTATACGAGTATAAACGATACAATATAATAATAATAATAATAATAACCGTATTAATATCATTTCTCGAAAACGTTATTCTTCCGACGATATATTATTATATTATTCCGCTAATGGATTCCGCAGCAGCTATACGGACGATTAGCCGCACGCGAATAGTTCGAATAATAGTACGGTAGATATTATTTCATTGTTGTCGTTTTCCGCTATTCGGCGTGTACGGACGAAACGCCATCTCTTTGGGAAACGCGTACGCGCGATCGGAGACAGCACCAGTCGTTTAATACGTGGAGCTTCGTGTTCGAGTGACCGGTTGCCAGGTCTGGCCGCTTAAAGAAAAAAAAAGTCTAGCAAAAAGAGATGGCGGCGAGAGGGGGACGGGGGACAAAAATATAGTAGTTACACGACGTTAGTTCAATAGATCAGGGATGACGGCCTTCTGGCCCGTGACGCGCATCGATGAATACCAGAGACACAGATAAGGTTCGGGATTTTTCACGGAAGAATAAACATTTATACAATTCCCTCTACCGCCCCCCCTCCGTGATAACTATGAAAAACGAATGTAAAACTACTGGAAATCAACCACAGTATAAAAAATATCCATCTGTCGAGTAAAGTTGAATTTGTAAAATAGCAGCGACCGAGTCGATTAGTCATGACAAATACGAATTGAATCACGTTCGCGAGATTTGATATCACTGCTTTACTGATCGTTGATACATACCTATACGTCTAATATTTCTTTGGTGAAACCGAAAATACGCTGTTCGTGTAATGACTTCATGGTTTTATGGTATTTGTGGTCTGTGTACGTCTATTCACACTATATCTTAAATCTACGTGAAAGAATACCTGTACCCATTAATAGTGTGACCGAGAGAGGAAGATAGACAGAGTACGAATTGAAAAAACTTCAGAACATTAGAACATCATATGCCTGTTTAAAGGCCATATTCGGAAAATAATTTAAGAAGTATTTTTCTAAACATGTTCTGTTTTAAAAATATTGGGGGAGGGGGATTTCTAATCCTATGTCCTCTTTGCAACTTGCCTACAAAATAAAGATCAGTATGATTTTGGTTTTGATTTTTTTTTTTTTTTGTACAACGATTTCGTCGTGTTTCACTACTTTCACATTGGTAACTTTATTCGGAGCACCGGAGAACATCATGCACCGTTTTCAAATACTTTTCGGCCACTAATATTTTGTACCTAATTAAATATAGAAGAAAATAATTCATAATAACTTCTGTATATTACAACCAACGTAAAAAGATTACATACAGTTCGAGTCCTATCATAATAATATATCCAGACATCGGTTCTATCCTACTAACAATGTTGGTACTAGGCGACCAGAGGCAGGGTATGGAGGACACGCGAGCCTTGTATTATAACGTCTATTATGACGGTAAAGCCTAGTAGTAGAATTATATATAGTTTCCGACGACCAACAGCTGATATTGAATTTCAAGAGTATCGATTGGAAAAAAAAAAAATATATATATATATATTATAGTTATTAGATGACGTTCGGATCGAATTCATAAAATGGAATGATGGCGCACCGCGAGAAAAGAACGTCTTTATTATATTCAATTATTATTTCGTCCGTTCAGATGCTACCGAACAGAGCGACGAGGAATGTATTGAGTTTTATTGTGGTGGTGTGCGTGGTTTTTTTTTTTTTTTTTTATTTGTATGTCCGTTTTAATATACGGGTGTGATCAGAAAACGTGTTCCGATAATGAAAAAATAATTTTTTTTTTTATTATTTTTTTATTATTAAAAGTCCCTGTACTCTCTCTATTTCATAGTGAGGAAAAACTTACATCGATACACCGATTTCGATAAAAAATGTACGGGGAATCGTGTCATCACTCAGGGGTCTGCAATTTCGAGGTTGACGACATCTCAACAATGGCCAGCAAACGTGATTCAAACGTGTTCGAACGTGAATAATTTGCACTTATGTCTTTTTTCCTGACGTTCTTCACTTGGACAGAAAAATAAAACCGATTTTGTTTTACATAATATTATTGCGATTTAGCGAAGGACACGTAACGATATTTGGATGAATAAGAAAAACAGACGGATAAGGTATACGTACAAAATCATTTTGTTGAAAAGAATACGAAAACAATAATAATAAAAAAAAATGCCGGCTTATGCGTACGACCAAGTTTATAACAGATCCATTTTAGTGTCACCCTCTCATCCCGAAATCGTCTTGGGATCGTAGCGATAAGAAATTCTCGAATTTTTTTCCCATTCCGATATTGATTGTGACGACGGAAATATTAATTGTACGTAAGTCGTCGTATGTACGGACTACGTGTTTAGCGCAAGTCCATTACTCGTTGTTATCTCGGGGCTTTGTTCCGCCCGTGAAAACCAATTACGGGCCGTCGACCAAAAACTAATAACTGTTCGATTAAATGAAAACAGACGGCGGGGATGTAAACCTCCGTGAAAACGTTCGAAAGGGAATGAAAAGCAAAACTAATGCGGTCGGACGTGCGATCTTATAAAAAAAAAAAAAAGTGACGATATTATGTCGCGATAACGAAATCATTTTAGATTCTGAGTAGAACGAAGAAGCTTATGGTTTTACAAAGATGTTTAATTTAATTTAATTTTTTCCGTAGGCAACTTTTCTACCAGAAATATTGCTCCGATTTTTAAATGTGGCACTTTTTCTGAAAGGAAATCGGAATGGACGGGTACTTTATGGAGGTCATTTTTCGATTTTCTTAGGGGTTTTCTCAATAAATGAGGAAAAACGGGAAAATGCACGGAGTGTTAATGCAATTTGAAATATTATATTCCGATTCTGGGTTTTCTGGTGTTAATATTGGGTATTGGGCGGTGTTGAAAATTATACAAATTTTAATCGGACATTTTTCCAAAGACTAATTTATTATTTGAAACTCAAAACTCCAAAAACTATATGCATGTACATGAGATGAGCGCCGGGGAAGGCGAGATGTGATATTATTTGTAAAAAAATAAAAACGGTCGGCTATATATTTTCAGGCGTATAAGTCGTATATTATATTATTTTTATACCGCCAAAATTGACCCTAATAAAAAAGAGACCGCCGCCGCCGCTGCCACGCCGTGGATACGGAACATTTATGCCGATGGTTCTCGTCTTAAACGAGCTTCGGTTTGCAAAAAAAAAAAAAAAAATGATACGATCAATATAAACTCCTCCAAGGATGATGCGCTCCGATACTTTTTGGGGAAACGAGAAAGGTTATATTAGGTAAGCGTTTTTGTTGCACAGTTCATATTATTGTTACCGAAATTCAAAGAAACACGACGACGCACTACGGTAATAATATTCGACAACGATAATTACGTTTTTGAAAAAATGCACGTTGCCACAAACATATTGATAAGCTAACATTATTCTATTCGGTCGTATGATTATTTAAACTTTCAATTCGATATCGGCTGAGGCGTCTCTCTAGGAGGCGTGCCGTGTACGCATGGGTAGGGAGAGTAATTGGGGTTCTTTAAATTCAATATTTACACTTGAATATTCATTATTTTTTCCACTCCAATCGCAAATAATTTATATTTAGAACTTCCCCCCTCCCCTTCCTCCATAAATTATCTATACCTAAGCCTCAATCTTTTTCACACAATCGATTTCTTTGACGGAAACGGATCGGATGAATACGAAAAACGGATTAAACATTCGATTCGTTTGTACGGAAGTCTGTAATTTGCACCACTGCACCGTAGGTAGTTTTTACCACACGGCAATTCAATTTGTCAGTTCCAACCGTACTAAATATACAAAATAATTTTAGGTTTCTTCTGTTTTTATCACATTTACCAGATTAAACTAAAAATACATTTAGTTTTGCATATTTTGATTTACCTTTCCTAATCGGAATTTACAAACTATGTAATACCTAAGGTACATCCGATTTCCCTAGACTGCAATAATTGGCTGCATCCAAATTGCATGCAAAAAATAAAGTCCGAATTGCATGTCATCTCTTAGAAAGGCCTGTCCGAATTCCATGATGTGTACAATTTCACTTATGACAACTAAATTTTTCTAAAAACGAAAAAAAATCATTCAAAGTTATTTACAAATATACATGAATTCTATTTAGTATTAAATTCACCTAATTTTTAATTACTATTTGAATTTTGTAGTTGTTAAATTCAAATTACATTGAAGTAACGTTTTCATAAATTTAAAAAAAAAAACTACTCGATCACATAATATTATTATGTATAAAAACGCTCTAAGATATGGTTGTCACGACTGATTAGTCTCCAGATTGAAATATTTTGTGCAGTGATGAAGATACAATTACAAAATAATGAAATGAGTAGAATAATGTGTGTGCAAAAGTTAGCATTATTGCCTTTTTGGCATTGCCGATGTAAAAATAAATTCTTTAATGAAAGTATATTGAAAATATGTAATCGATTAGCACATATAAGGTTGGAAATAACAATATAAACGATATTATACGTATAATCAAAACGGTAAAAAAACATTGTGACATGAAATTATAATAATTGTATACAATTTTATAAATTCAAAACAATTATAATATAATAACATTTAATATGGAATTAAAAATGTAACATTTTTAACCACACCAGCACAACATTTAAGCTTTTACCGTCAAACATAATTCTAAAAACAAAAAAAAAAAAAGCAGGAAGGAAAATGTCACTATAATTTAATTTAAATTCAATAATTTAAAGTTAAGTTTAAAATGGGGTGAATTAACTAAATAAACTTTATGTTTTTTTTTATGAGTAAATTAAAATAAATATTTTTAGACGATAATTTGCAGTGATTATTATTGTTTGGATTTTAAATAATCTAGTCTAAAACAAAAAAATGAATTCGTGATAAGTAAATTTATACGGGTCATGCAATTCGTACACACCCCTAGATACGGTGGCACGCAATTTGGACGTTTCAAATTATGTTTGTTTTTTTGGAATGCAATACGGATGCAACGCAATGATCGTGTTTCGTGTGTTTATAATATGTTACTGAACTACAACGATGAGGTCGGAACTCTCGAAAAAATGCATATATTTATGTCACGCGTCACGTCGATGACCCCGGGGTAATAATTGAAAACGGTCCGATAACGGAACAATATCGAGGTGTGATCCTCCGTTGAATCCGGTGGATTTTTTGTCCGTCTCAAGTTATAACGCAGGATGTAGCGTGAAAGAGTCTCCCGAGGAGACGGGCGATCGTGATGCCGAACCGTCAGTACGTATAGAAAATAATATTATGTTATTTCTGGTTTTTTAAAAAAAAAAAAAAAAATTCCAAAAGAAAATCCGGACGGTTTTCTAAATATATATATGTGTGTGTGTGTGTACACGAAAAATATATACACGCACAAAGGCGAATAATACGTCTGCGGGTTATTACGGATGAGGAGGAGGGGGTGTGTGTGAGAGAGAGGGGGGGGGAGGTAGATAAAACGAAAAACCTCGCCGGTTTTTCGGACATCGTTACGCCGAGGGTACGCCAGAGCTCTCCGCCGACACAGCCATTAAGATCGTATCTCTATACAGTCTGGCAACTCCTTCTTCCGTATATATTTATATAAATCGTGTACGCATTAAGTGTAGGCAGATAGAGGCAGGTAGGTAGGTACTCGCGAATAAAACGTCCACCCGGCAGTCGCCGTGCCTGTTTTCATTAAACACCGGGGTTATTTACTATTATTATATACGCGCACTTACTTGACGTCGCTGTTTCTTGACGATACTGCACGTGTATTGTAAAACGGCGTAGACACGCATACGCGTAATAATATTATATGGATGGTTTTTTTTTCTGTTCTACGCTCGTATATAAACCGCGTTGAAGTGCGAGCGGTAACAGGCGGTTTTACAAACAATGTAATAGTGTATAAAATATTCTCAAGTGCGCGTAATATCATTATTATAATAATAATTGCGCGTTTCGACCGTTAAAACCGTTAGCGCCAGTTCGTTCCGCGGTTTGTTATTGTAAACCGGCTCCGGAGCAGAGGCGCGTCGGAAACGGGCCATTCACTCGGTCGGTGCGCGTTATGGACGTGGGCAACTTTCAAGGGTACCCGCGGTCAAAATCGCGAAACTTTGACCGCCGCCACCGTTGTATAACCAATAATAACAATAATAATAATAACAATAATAATACCTAGCTGCAAAGTACAATCGGCGAAAACGCCCGACGTTTATCTGTTTAATATTATACGATATCAAAATATTCAAACGTTACCGTTACTAGCACAGATATTATGCGTAATAAACTGGATTGCTAACTGGTGATAATACGTGAAGTTTCAAACCGTCGTTTGGTTCGAGGACCGTTTATCGTCCACTTTTATATTATGCGATAACCGTAGTTGCACATTTCATGTAATAATATTTCACGAACATTTTTGAAATATTTCATTTGACGAAAATCTAAAAAAAAAAAAAAAATGATAAGATTTATTGCAGCAAACATTTTAGAAGAAAATTGCGTAGTTTATTATTATTACGACAAATTAAAAACATGCGTATAGTTAATAACTACCATAGTAGTCTTAACAAACATAGTTCAATCAGCTTTGACATAATAAATATTTGTGTTTTTTTTTTTTTTTTTTTTTACGACACAATTATAACTCAAATAATATAATATTTAAAGTGTAAAACGAATTCAATACTACACTATTGTTCGGTTATGATTTTGTAAAACATAAAAACCAAGAAATAACTAATGTTTAAAAAAATTAATGTGATATTCAATATATCATACTCATAATCTTATTTAATAATTATAGGAATGGTCGAGATCCATGTCACCGCGTTAACAACAACGATTAAAATGTACAGATTCAACAGTTATCAAAGTTACCGTTAAGAAAAAAGCAAAATAAACACAATTTTTTTTTTTTTCTGGCATTTTAATCATTTTTATCTTTACCTGAATTAGGCACACACAATGTATGCTGAAAACTTATCAGCACTAGCAAGATCTAATTTAGTAACAAGGGTTTTAAAATTTAATAATTTATTCAGTATCGCTAGGAAGGAAAAATTTCCTTTTATGGATCTTTATTATTTATTTTTGCGCAGCTTTGTTGCGATTTTCGCCCCTTGAATTGTACACGTATTTCTCAATTCAGGCAACCCGCAACAGACTTATGGATGAGATTGCCATCGGAAACTACTTCTATTACCTTAATATCCCAAATAAGTTATTCGTAAATACACCAATGATCTGGAGTAGTATACTGGGTATAAAATGTACCGAGTCTATATAGCCATTTCGCTTCCTGAATTATATCGAACGTGAAGTTCACTCACCGGGACCATAACGTGATAATTCGCTATGAATATGCAATAATATTCCCGAACCCCTGCGATTGTTAGTTAGGTACCTACAACATAATATAATATATATTGTATAAGATTACAATAATAATATTATACACTTTGGTATACTGAATTTGGGTGGCAATTAGTACGCATTAATGCAAAGGCCTTGATTAACCTGTCCTTCAATTATTTTAGACGAATAACATCTCTATAGGTATATACATGTTTAACGCGAGCACGGACCCCGGGCGGCGCGTATTTACGGACGGAATTGACGTTAATCGGACTGTGAAAATAACGTCACGTGCCTCTTAAATGCACTTCTGAAATTCCGCATAAAAGTGGGTTTAGAAACAGGACTCGCGGTCGTATTAGAAAGGGTTTTCGGGAGTGTGTGGATTTCGGGACACAAGTAGACAGGCTCGATCGGTTCATCAACGTACGGGACGACCGTATTCACGGCAAAACGTGCGAGTTTATTCGCATGCGAAATCGTTCGACCGTTATTTCTTTTTTTCGTACAATGTCACGCTTTCGATAAAAATTAATATAAATATTTTTATTTTTGTTTTCGAAAACTATGATCATACGTTTATTACATTAGGTATTCTGGAAATTTGTTTGGTTATACCACGTTATACATTGCTCTTTAAAAAAAATCACTGGTATAAAATAAAGAAATTCCGAATCAATTTGTGATACCGGTTCAAAATATATCGAAATGATTAATAATATACCGACATTATTTCTTGGCTAACCTCGCCACATGGATCAATTATTTCATATTGGTGTAATCATCTCCTTGTCTACTTTACCCACTGTAACTGTAACGTATTTCATATCTATAAATCAGATTATCATAATATTTATAATATAATACGAGTAACTTATCATAATATTTACGATAGGTGATCACTCCCAATTTTTTTCTTGGTTTGGTGTCTCTTATTGTATATTTTTTTTATTTTCACCATATAACAAAATAATTGTAAGGCATACATTTTATTTATATCCATGCATCTTTTAAGATTCTCATTTTTAAATTATTCATAAGTACCAAAATATAAAAAAAAAAAAATAAATACCTTTTACTATAATATTATTCAAAAAAAGTTTTGTCAAAACAGTTTAAGCAGTTCTCGAAATGTTTACAAACATACAGCCGGGCGATGGCGGTGGTTTGAAGTTAAAACTTTCTAAAGGCCCATTCTCAATAAAAATACTATTTACATAAATTAATATTGACTCCGTTACATTAATGAGTCTGTAAAGGTTTTGAAAACTTGGTATTTTCGGAAACCTGAAATTTGAACATACAAATAACTAGGAAGGATTTTCAAAATTAAAACACTTACAAAGAACAGTCTTAATGCATACACTATACACATTCAACATTTTATCTCTCTAGCGTCATTCGGAAGACCTGTAGGTTCATTCAATTCAGCCTCTATTTTTCTGTGCAGTAGTAAATAGCGCCAATTAAAATATAGAAAAAAAGATATTGATAACAGTTAAATATTAATATCAAATTATGAATTAACGTGTTTCTACTTTTAAATACTAACAACAATTTTTATTATTTTTAATTATTACAAATGTACACTATTTTAAATAATTATGGGGTCGAATAAAGAGAAATGTACGCTAGCTCAATACTGGCTAAAACATAAAACAAGCACAAGCAATATACCTCAGTTATAAGTACGTAATTATGTACTTATTTATAAAATTAAATTTTGTCACTTTGGTTGTTCACATTACTACTTATTCGACAAGAATAGAGATGATAAAATTCATAACGAAATTCAACTAGAATTTTATCACTTCAATCTGCTAATAAAAAAACTCTAATTCCCGAGTTTGATTTCATTTGGTCCAGAGAGAATGGTAGAAAGTGCCGGCGAAAAGATATATAAAATATATATTTATACATGTATATACTCGTATATTATAAGATATAACGGACGCAGAATAGTGCATTAGTTTCGAATTAGTTTATCAGTTCATTAGTTTAAAATCGGGGAGAATTTAAGAAAAAGTTTGTTTTATTATTTAACTAAGGTTTTTACTGACCAATAGATAACTTTAGAAAAGTAATAACTTATATAGAGTGTGGGAAGAAATTGATATTTTTTACCGAAATATCGAAAAATGGCTTGACGTATCGGTATAAACTGACACTGGTATAAAGGTATAAATTTCAAGATACTACAGTGTTGTTATTTGCGTGTAGCAGTATGGGCAAACGAATTGCTAGACTGTTTCTCCTTTCTATCCACCGACAGCTAAAAACTAAATTAAATTAATTAAATACCCTACTGACTAAACACTCGGAAAATTTTCACGGGGTCAAGGAGTATAATATATAACACGTATTGTATTATGTTGTTAATTAATACAAACATACTTTAAGCCATTTACTCGCTTGCAGCATTCGAAAGTGTCAGGAAAATCGTCGAGTGTTTCGGCTATATCTTCAACCATTTTTTGGGACACTTTTCGAGTATGTGCCTACCAAACGAATACTTCATACATTATTAAATTTTCCAGCTACACATATCCCGAATGTCAATAGTTTAAACCATAGACCAAATATAAATACAAGCTTGTCATATCCCCTTACAGAATGCATTATTATTTTTATATTCCATAGATATAACATAATATAAATTATGAAATACTATAGATATAATTATTGATTTATAATTGTATGGCAATAGTCATGAAATCTAAATGTATAATATTACATATATTGTACAGTAAAAACTCGATCATGATCATTTCTTATCACTTGTCCTATCTCGTTCCATTTTTGCTCAATATGACCTATGGTCTCTTTGTTTATGTGCGTTATAAATTTCGATAATAGCACTATAGTAATATCTATATTCGGGCAGAACACATTTTTATATTATTTGTATCTATGATTAAACTTGATAATATTCGTTTTTATAATTTTACTTATATTATACTTAAAATACAATTAATACCCTTTGCGGTCGTTTGAGCGTTAATGATAATTATCGACATGCATTTTGATTATCAATCGATAAAATATCGGAAGTGACGTTTTTACCGGATAACACAATGGACAAACTTTGTTAGAATCTTTGATACAAGTATCTAAGTCTCACAAATACGTGTTATTCATATAAATGTATTATGTATTGTGATACAGTTATACAATAAATATCGAGCATCTTGTAATGCGTTACTGAAATCAATGAATCGAGTATCGAGATTAATATCCCCCCCCCAAGTTTTTGAAAAAAGTAATTTAACACATTGAAATTGATAGTATTTAAAAATAGGAGAAATAGTTAGAAGTTTTGAAAAATGTTTCAAAATAGTTAAT